TACCTGCTCTCATTTACTGTTTTAGTTGTTTGGTGGTTGTAGAAATTTTGTGAGATTCTGGTGTTTTGGGCAAAATAAATGTATATTAAAAAATCGATTCAGGATTTTATTGAATCAATATCACGTTATCCAAGCCAGAATCGATTTTAATCGATAAATCGATTATCAAAACCCACCCCTAGTGGGTAACTCATAGTCTGCTTGCATGAGAAAACCTACGTAGGAGGTAGAAAGGGCAAAGCTGCCATGGGCTCTGTGGGCACCAACTAGGGGCCACGTAGGATAAATGTGGGTTTGCAGCTGAGAGAAGGTGACTGATTCAAACCATTTTAGTAAAATGGATCTTATTGATATACTGAAAAAGAAGTGAATGTTATCAGTCCAATCTTCCATTTTCTGAAATATCACACGTGTTCTGCGGCCCACTGTGGGTTGTGTGGGTCCGCCCGCATCGAGGCCACACATGCCCCAAAAGGACACATTTGCTGGGTATTTGTCACTTCCTCTTAAGTTAGAGCATCCCATTTGAACTCCACAAAGTGATTTACTTATTTATTTTTTACAGAGGTTTCTCTAATGTCATCTCTCCTTTTCTTTGTAGTTGTCAGTGGCAGTAAAATGCCTGAAATCAAATGTACTGGACTCAGACGGTCTGGATGATTTCATCAGAGAGGTGAATGCCATGCATTCACTGAGCCACCAAAACCTCATCCGCCTGTATGGCATCGTCCTCACACAGCCTATGAAGATGGTAATCCATGAGACACACACACACACTTATAAGAGGGAGTTTGTCCTCTTTTTGAGAACGATTTATTTCCAACAGCCGATATATTGTAGCTGCTGAGCTATCAGATGTTTTCAGTGTTTTTACGCTGAAGGTTTCAGAGCTGTTAAGCTCAGTTTAGCCTGCAGTAGTTTCTGCTGCCTCAGGTCTGGCTACTTTAGAATAGCCCTGAATATAAGATCAGTGTTTCCCACACACAGAGGAAATTCAAGTACAAAAGAGTTCCCACAGTCTCCTTGATTCTTTATTGTTGCAGTGAAGTTAAAGATTTGCCGCTTCCAGAGGTAACATAATTTTTAAAAAAGCACTGAAAAACAGTACAGACAGGATATATATTTCAAAAGCAGTGCACAAAACATATAAACACAATGAGCTCTGAGCACATTTTGTTTGTTTGAGTGTAGGTGACTGAGCTGGCTCCTCTGGGCTCCCTGTTGGATCGGCTCAGAAAGCGGCAGGGTCACATCCTCATCTCCTCGCTGTGTAACTATGCCGTGCAGGTCAGTTAATACCGAAAGGAAAAAATCCCACAATGAAATTCAGTTTTATCACACTGTTCTCTCTAGTAGACTTTCTTGAGTACAGCTTCCATAATATTTGTACATTTGTTTAAATTTAAATGTTTATTTGTTAGAGATACAGCTCTCACTGTTTTATGACATTTCCCATGTATAAGAATGCAAAAATGCTCCCATCTGTCACTCCACACCTTCTCCACAGGTGGCCTGTGGGATGGCTTACCTGGAGCAGAAGCGTTTCCTCCACAGGGACCTCGCAGCCCGTAATGTGCTTCTGTCCACCAATGAAACTGTGAAGATCGGAGACTTTGGCCTAATGAGGGCACTGCCTAAACACACCGACCAATACGTCATGGAGGAAGGCCACAAAATCCCTTTCCCATGGTGAGAGTGACTTTTTTCTGTCTCTACATACTATCTGTGTTTCATTATCTCAGCATCTCAGTTGTTTTTCACCGATCTCTCCAGGTGTGCTCCAGAGTCTCTGAAGTCTCGCACTTTCTCTCACGCATCTGACACCTGGATGTTTGGGGTCACCCTTTGGGAGATGTTCACCCACGGACAGGAGCCGTGGCTGGGTCTGAATGGGAGCCAGGTGCATCTTTGAACAACCCTCCGCCATAAAAAATAATATAAATGAATTATTCATTAGCTTCAGCTAATCACGCTACTATTTATGTGTCGGTTTACAGATCCTTCACAAGGTGGACGTGGAAGCTGAGAGGCTGTGTAAACCAGACGATTGTCCTCAGGATATCTACAATGTGATGCTGCAGTGCTGGAGCCCCAAACCTGAAGACAGACCAACTTTCATTGCCCTCAGAGACTTCCTGCTCGAGGTAGCACAGTAGTTTAAGT